TTCCCTATTGTGAATAACTTGTCCACTTTTGTCGCAGATTGTTTCACTAACTGTGGTTCGCTGACCTCTCATATTGCGTTTCATTTGTAACAGTCTTTGACTATTCCCTCATGCAGCTGCTACTTCCATTTCACTAGTTATCGTTGCCCACCAGTTCTCATGATCTTTCTTGAGGCTCCTCGTGAGTTGACGTTGTAGAGGCCACCTAACCCTTGATCCCGGGTGATTGGGATTTGCAACTTTTTCTCCATCAGTGTCACTGACTGATCAGATATCCAATGCCTCGGGCGGGCTACTGCTTCAGATCCACAAGCAACGTTCGCTGCGGAGTGCACTGCTCGTCTAATCTGATCCCATTGTTCATTTACACTACCACACTGCAGTGCGTTTAGCTCTTAACCTAGTTCTGATTCAAAACGGGCACGAACGGCTGGGTCAGATAAGCAATGATCTGCCAATCGAGTTTGGTGGGATTTTCTGCGACCAGTGAGTTAGAGAGTGAACTGCATCAAAACTAATGCATGATCAGATTCAACGCAGGTGGTCCAATAGGACCTGCAGTTTTGAACTGAGCCACGCCTACGGTAGCTTACTGCTATGTGGTCGATTTAAGTGAGCGTACCAGTTAAATTGGAGCGCCACGTTGCTGTCCGGAAGTTGGTGCTGGATAGGAACAGATGATGATGAACTGAAGAAGTCGATTGCCATTATCTGTTCGCTGGCAGGGCAGAGCACAATGACCGCCAAGGCAAGCTTCCGATGCGCTCAGTTTTCCAACTTGAGAGTTGAAATCACCTGAGGGAACAACGATATCGGAGCTTCGACTTAATCGAATGAGTTCGGTGACTTTGTCAAAAAAAACTCGTTGTTTTGTGTCAAAACTGCAGTTGGTCGAAGCATACACTGAAATAATGAACAAACATTTTGGGGTTGCTTCCCTTCCGGACGCTGATAGACGATTGGAGCCGCATCGCACATAAACGACTATTGACGGGGATCCAATCGAGTAGTGCAGCTTCGGCTTTATTATCGACTACAATGCCCACACCACGCTGACGTACTGAACGGGCTTCGTCATCACTTGACATGCAGAGGAAGAACCTCGAAGACAACCTCGGTGCACTTAAGTGGTTTATAGTACTCGGATCCTGGATTCGATTGTCCGGCACGCAGCAGCCATCCATTCCCAAAGAGTCCATTGTACGCGCCAGGCATGCTTGTTGACCTACCTGCATCAGAGTCCTCACATTAAAGGCCCCCAGATTCAGTGTCTGACGAGGCTTCAGAATCTGTAATCCATTTAGTGGTAAACTGTTTACCGGGCTACTTGGCAACGAACTTTGGCGAGTGACGAACAAGTTGTCTGAGGGAATGTTACGGGTTGGAAGAAAGGGTGAAGGGATAGGGTTGGGTACGGAAGACAAAGAGTTAAACAAAGGTTGGGATATTTGAGCAGTAGCCCACTTATCATTACCCACCCCGCTCGATGCAATGGGCAGCGCGGTCTTGATTATCTTGCGCGATGACCGATGCAGTATGGAATTATTTTTTGGTTGTGTACGCATTTGAGTTTGATGGACGGGTATTGCCAGGGTGGTCAGCCACTAAGCAGGAGAACGATTAGGGTTCTCGTCCAAAGCCTTCAGTTCTGACAAGAATCTAACCGTAGGGCAGCGGGCAAAGCGAAGCAGAGGCCTATTTACTTGGATCAATTACTCCTCGACCATTTTACCGACTGAGATGCTAACTCGAGTCGAACCCCCAACCTGGAGGACCAGGAGACTGGATTTCGTCCGTGCTCTACCTATTGATCTTCCAGGGATGATCAGATCTGAGGCTTGAATAAAGCCATCCCGTATAGCTCGTGGGGTCAGAGAGGTGCGCAAGCCATCACACCACGTCAAGGTGCAGTCTCGTCGTGATGGTAATACTACACCTTACTTAGCGGGGCCTTATGTGGTTCCCACTCCAAGTACTGGGGTCTAGGTTACCGGTTTCCACCACTGAACAGCAGACCTTCATAACCATGGGATTCACCCCGTCTGCTGTTCATCACAAAAAAGTGTGCAACAAAGAAACCATAACCGTTGCACTGTAGTGCAAGATCAATGGTTGTGAAAACTGGAACTGAAAGTACATCTAAAGCAACATCTTCCTGAACAAACATTCAAGAAAAAAAAGCTGATCAGTTTCGTCCATTATTCAACAAGGCCTGAAAGCCTACATGTTCCTCTAAAAAAGTCGCCAAAGAGGGTTTGAACAATTGCTCACCCGAAAACCTGCAAATCATTTTAAAGGGTGAAGAAAAAGGGATTCGGATGATCCAGTTATGACCAAGGATGAGTTCTTGTGAAGATTGAAATTACGGGAATCGATTTAATCCTCAATCTTACAAAAATGCTTCAGTTCACACGGCAGCGACTAAACATTCTCTGCGTGGGATGCCAGATCAAAAGTGGGTTAACGAGTGCTACTCGAAATAAAACTACCTGACAGCCAGCTTAGATATCAGCATTCTTTCAGTTTCTAACTCAAACCTTCTACTTTCCCACGGCACCGTTGTGGCTGCGAACTACTAGGGATACCGTGAGTTGGACGTGGGTGTATTTGCACAAATTCGGATGGTAACTCACGTGCGTGTTTAGTTCAGCTATCTGAAGGCGGGACCGAAAGTCAACACAGAAGCCAAATAAGTGCATATGAAACAGCCACCTAAAACAACGGGTTACCAATGACCTATCAGCAATGACACGATCTTTTCTCAGCCCATGTTTTTACCGCAACACCAGTTTATCTTGAACTATTACCTATTTTAATATCACACTGGCAAACGATGTGAGTATGCATTTGTTAGCAATTACGATATAATATTGTATGGCAAGGAGGATCAAGTTAGTTGTATCGAATAGGGGTAAGGGGTTAATCGTTTGGTGTGATTCGGATTAAATTCTTTCACGTATCAGAAGAGCTGTGTGGTATAGACTACGATTTCTCAGTTTAAAGCAATCACGTGATTGAGTGACAGAAAATGTTCTGCAGTCCAACAAAGATGAATGCTATACACAAGTGAAAATCATTGGGTTGGAATTTGTCTAACAGTCAGATTCAAGGAAGAAGTGACGCTTTTGCTGACAGAATAATATTTTGTCATCAATCACGTTGTATTTTTATTTGAAAACAATGTTGAAATATCCTGAGATATGCAGCAAGATAAATCCTATTGCTCCTAAGACTCCACAAGTTTCTTTCAAGGGTGAAGACAACGCTCTTTAATGTCTGACTTTCTTCCATAGTAAATCGTTGAAAACGTAAAAACAAAAAACAAGTTTTAGTGTTGACAAATGCTTACTGGAATGTTATGTTTTGAACCACTGAAATGTATTCTGTACGATACTACTAAGACGTTTGCAAATTTCATTCACATTACGTGTATTCACACACACACACACACACACACACACACACACACACACACACACACAATTTGCCAGGATCTTTACTTAACAATACAATGTCTGCATACTCAAGATCAGACAGTCTGTCGCACGGGAGCAAATCGATGTCATTAACAGTGCCTGACGCCTGAGAATAATCGAATGGATTATTCCAAATTTGCCACATGTAATTGTTTAAACCATTCGCACAAGGTGAGACGACCGTCGAACGTGTGGCTCAGGGAAAAGGGTTTGAAGCTCCGACCCGAATGTTCGCGGTTTGAGTTCAGATAGGGACACAACAAGTTAAAATAACCTTAATGGGGAAAAATGAACAAACACGGTTGAAAAAGATCGAGCACAAAGAACAGGGAACTGTTTTCTCTAAGATGAGTGAGAGAGAGAGAGAGTGAGCAACTGATACGCGTAGCTCTGACCGGTCGATGAGATATTAAAAACCAGTCCATCCATTCCGGGGACTGGAAAACTGAATTCAGGCATTTCGAGGAGAAGAATAAGAGCCAAATGTAAATACCACGTTCGTGATGATGAATGAATGTGTTGGGCAATTGGAATTGGTTAAATTTATCTAGAAAACATTTTATCAGGTCGGATGAATACTGGCACCATGGATCACGTGATTCAAAAATTGTCTGATCACTTAAACTTGAATCGTCAGTACGGTTGGCGGTGAGTATCTCGAGTTGTGGCTGATCATCCTTCTCTTGCGCCTCGCGAAATGCTCCTATACAACTGGGCACATCAAAGTCTCTGATGAGAAAGACCTACTGGCCACACCCAATTAACAGTGAGATTTCCCCCGACAGAAGGAAGAGGATGAAAGGCCAACATTGGGACTTATAACCATGTCGTTGAACCAGTGGCAGTTCACTTAAGGGACTGGATAAAGACCCTGATACTGATATCAAAGCAACCAAGAAGATGCGTTCGACCCACGTACACCTTTCTCGTTGTGGCAGTGATCAGCGGCTACATTGGGTATCGAGGTGTATGGAGCACTTTGGACGGTTGACCTCGTCCAGTGAGTGTATGATCCGATGAACTGGACACCGACTCCCAATGGACTGCGATTTTCGCACACCGCCTCGTTGCCTTGCGGGTCAGGTTTTGACTAACCGAATGTTCTGGTTGTGAATGACCCAAGAAAATTCACCTGCTTTGGTCTGGGTAACGTGATAGTATTGTGTCCACAGGCCAATCATGGAACTAATGTCTTTTTATGACGATTATTGTACCGTGATTGGTTTGGCACATAGTCTGGACCCAGACATGTGTGGAATATAATATAAAATATATATTCTCCCTAGGTTCGGTCGACGAGGTAGCACAAGGATAAAAAACAGACACAAAGGCTAAGCACGTAATCAACTGAATTTATCACATCAAGATGTGTGCAAAATAACGCGGAGCCCATCAACCGTAAAGCTTTAATCTATTCTTTTATTTATAATTTAGAGAACAGTACAACATGTGTTGAACCATTTGCTAAACCATCTTAAACAGAAATATTTACTGAAGAAGAATCCTTGCTAGGCGCACAAACTGTCAGGGGATTGCGGTACGTACGGAATCCGATGATTCGCTGGATTTCAGGGAACCTTGGAAGCGCCGATCGACATCAATATTCACAACGAGAAACATCTTCATAATCCAGGATTGCTCGGATTACAACGCGAAGCTAAAACACGATAAACTTACCTTGCTTGAGCTCGACTCGTGATGTGTTTCACGCAAATGAGAACCGCTGGTTCGTACGGACGAACCTGGCGTTGGTACGTGTGACTTTGTAGCTGAGTGACCAGCATCAGCTGTAGTTGGACGACTGAACACGTGTGAGGCGGATGGATCGACGGCATGGCTCACCATGGATTCGGATGGTGTATCTTGTTCGGGGATGGCCGGAGANTGAGGCTTTCGACGTTTTTCGTAAAGACGACGCCAATGTTCAGGCCCACCACCCCGATCAGAATCGCGTAAACCAGTGGAACTGGAGATACTCGGTGGTCGAGCCAAACGGGAAGCGGACTCCGCAGACGCCTCTGAGATTCCGGAGAGAACAGATCGCGTGATAGTTGATGGACGAAATGGTGGAAGACCTTGAATGCCCAGTGCGCTGAGACTACTGGAGCCCGGTACGAAAACAGCCCCATTCGAACGATGAGCTGGCGATCGGAACGAGTAAAACAATTATGTAAGGCTCTTCTAAAGTTTCATTATTATTCATAATAATACAATATTTAAGCTACTTTTCCTAAATACACCAAACTCACAGTCAATATTCAGAGAGAGGGGTGGGGCGGTCGATAGAAGCTCATAAACCGACCACGTTCAGAATCATGACAAACTATATCATTCCAACCAAAGATCGCGAAGACAAAACTAGAGCATTTACTAAAACGGGCTCGGACTTCCAAAAGCAACGTAGGCATGACTGAGACCAAAGATTTTGCCCGTCATTATTTGTCTGTCGGACTAGCCTTCCTGGGATATCACGCACCTCAAAAGAGTGGTGAAACAACGTCAATTAACTTAAGGTTTACGCACTCCCGGGAAAGCTTACTCTATCGGTAATTAACGAGAGGACAAGTGCTCTGGTTTCATTCAGCTGTTCTTTTTGGATACCAATCTGTGATCTGCTTTTACTTATGATTGGTTTTGTTTTAACAATCTACGTTAGTTCAAGACTCGAAAAAACACGAACGACAATGAGCTTGTCAATATTTTATATAAATCAATATCTTCAACCGATTCACAAATCCCCAACGAAGAATTCTCACGAAACAAACATGATCAAGGCCAATGATAAAAATGTTCATGACCTCACGCCAAGTGATACTCTGGCTCTCCTCAACTTTCTCCAATTCTTAATCGCCTTGAGAAACGTTGTATGTGAGAGAGAGTCATCTGGAACTGTATGACAAGTTACAGTCATGGTAATTTATCAAGACTAGACAATCGGGTCAGTGTGTTGCGTCGATCGCTTGATGCATATCATCTCACTTTGACATTGCGCGTCCGGTTTTCCCATCAGACTTCTGCAATGAGGTATAGATAATAGTGATCACACACTGATACTATGCGTTGATCTACTCGTCAAGAACACCTCTCTGGACAAGATATCGGCTTTCACAGGCAGGTAGAAGCTGTAGGGACATCGAAGACGCTTTAAGTTGGTAAGTTTCGGACGGGAACTACCCGAGATTTATTCGCTCGGAGATACATTACTACCTGAGCAGAGAAATGTGTTAACAATCCATAACCTCCTCACTTCGATTGAACTCCAGAGGACTAAGTTAGTCCTACGGGAGCATTGCACACTTCGAAGCGGTTAAATGCATGCCAAGTAGAGCTACCCTATTACTTTAGTTGTTTAGAGCAACTTACAGCTTACATGAGTCTTTATAACGCAATGCGCTGGTAACTGCTCGTTCAAGATAAGGGAAATGGCAACATGAAGGCACACTGATTCTGTACGAAGGTAGACTCGTTTCTAAATCCCTATCTTTAGTGCTTCGTCAATTCGCAAGTGCTGTACCAGATAAAAGAATTTTTGGCTCCGGGAATGCTTCAAAAGCCTGAATGATAATCGGAAAATAAAATGACATGTTTCAATCATATTCAAACGATAAAATAACAGACAAATGTGCCTGAGAGGCATTCAGCTCTCTAGGAGATTTGATGAATGGCACATTTCAATAAGTTGGATGAGTGAACCAAATATGAAAATATCAGTACTCTCGGTGTGACCTCATATCTCGGTTGGTGGAACGTGCGCTGTACAAAAACGTAAACGGCCTCCGTGCGTGGATTCGAATCCCATCGAGGCTTCGATTCAAGCGTTTCATTAAGTCAAACATTCTTGTCAGTCAAATGACTGCATAATCACGTGAGCTATTCGAACCTCGTAAACAGAGCGATCATTACCAGAAAAAAGTGACAAGTAAGGTGATCCACAGAGATGAGATGGACATGGTGCTTGAACGAGACAGGTGTACAACACAGACCACGGCATACTGCTGAAAGACAACGGAGTGTGTGATGACAACAAATTTGCCTATTACAACCAAGATCCAAACAGAGTGTGCTGTGAGAAATGCTCTTGGGAGCAATTCACATTTCCGACGTATTCTCCCTGAATCTCCAATACCGTTTTGTTTAGAACGTTGAAGCTTCGAACCATTGTCACACATCACTAGATTCACAAAAGTAACTGACTTATTTTGAATGGGACTCGAAATATTAAGCATGTTACTCTAAGTGACGCGAGATATTTTATGGTCATTCCCTTACCGTTCCGCAATCCACTGCCAAATTGATCAGAGTGCATAAATTAATCTGTTATTGTTCTCTGGCCAACGACAGCGAGTTAGCCCTTATAGATGAGTTATAACCTCGTAAGATTGACTGCACGCGGTTTTACACTATCGGCACAACAGAAGGAACAATTTGTGACCTACTGAGATGTTAGATGAATTAGCAGATGCATTGCAACAGAAATGAACAGCCTCAAAGACCGTGGTGATCAACCTACTGGCTAATCTACCCCATTTAAGTATGAAAACAGAAAAAAATAAAGGCAGAAACTTGCATCCAAACACACAACGATAATCTCCTTTCCCATTTCGATGTGGACAGAGTCAAGCAGTTCATTTCTCAACAAGACAATCCATTCATTCACATTGCATACCTCACGAAGCTGGGATGCTGTATAACAACTTTCGACTGTTGGACTAGTCACCTAACGCAATTGGTCACAATTAAAAGAGGACTAACTATTTTTTATTGGACAGTTTCTCCTTGTGCTACAATCATCAAGCAATAGTTAGTGTCGGTTGTATTGCAAGTAACTTCAAGCGCATGTGTGCAGAATAAAGACGAATTTCATGTCCAAACCCAGTCAGATCATGGACCGCAGAGAGACGAGGTTCCATAGGGACTTAAGGAATATGTGATACCACCAACAGGAAACCATCACCACCACCACCAACATCAATCGATTTCCCGCCAGATTCAACGGAGAACAGATAGAGGGGAAAGCTGATCGAACAGACGATCGGCTAGCGAACAGCGGGGACATCGCATTCAGACAATTGGACAGCCTCGAAATAAGCAAGGATCACAGGTCCTCTTGATATGCATCGTTGACGCGCCTGTCAGCACAAGCTAGGAACATTCGTTTAACATACAAACGCACAAACACATCATTTCCAATAGAAACGGTGCTCGTAACTGGGATGGGACACACGGGTAGCTAGGTTTGGGGGACGAGGGGACAAAGATAGTTGGGGTATGGACAGACCGGAAATCGCCGTCGCCGCCTCACTCTCGGTTCCGCACTGGCGGTCCTCTAGACCAACACATGATTGGTCACGCACAGGCCATCACCGATAGAGATGAGTCATCTGACTGGCCTCGACAAAGAAATAAAACCAAGCGAGTGTGCTGAATTTTATTGCATACTTCGAACGAGGACATTCACACGATGCATAGCTGTATGAAATTCGCAACTACCGACCCCCGTTTCAGTGGTCGAAGCGACTCGTTATTTGAACGATAGCTGATGCATTTATAGACGGATTACTAGAGAGAATTAACTTTGCCAAATGTTGTATCGAGCCGGAGCGACGCATCGATTTTTCGGTTATTGTTGTGAATGAGAATAATATGTGAGAGAGTAACCGGGGATTAGATAGTGATTATTAAAAGAAAACATCAGAACTGTGTCTATATATCCAATCAGGCGCCAGATTGATAGTGGAACTTACACAAACAAGGTGGAATAGGACGGGATAATGCAGCAAGTGAGGTCGGATCATTAGGAACACACTGCTTGTAACGCTAACTGGAGCAAGCGCTTGTGCAACGATAACGGGCTGAACTTGTGACTTAACAGGAAAACGGAACAAATTGAGTACACACCAGTGTATCGTCCTGTCTTACTCAGAGAAAGAAACGACGACAGTTAGTAAAGGATCAACTTATTGATCTATCTGTGTGAATCCAAACACGTGTTTCAGTTTACGTAGTGATGGAAATAAACAAAGAAAAAGAAATACAACGTCGAACATATTGTATATCGGGAGAGGGAAGGAGTATTACCTTACGGACGCACAATACGCTTTATCAAAGCATCCATCTCGGTAGGTCTGAACAACCGGTGTTCAACTGGAGATCAGATATCAAAGGGGAACGTATACTGATTGTTAATCAGACCTAGACAATGTTATATGAAGTTTTAAGGATGTTAGACAATAAGAATGATGGGGTGATGAACGCATCCTGCGTGATGTTAAGACAACTAAATCCAAGACAGACAGAACGGAGTTTTTGAAACACGAATGAGGGGTGTGTGGAGGGGGGTTGAGTGAAAATGCTAAAGTGTCACACGCTGTATCTCGAACGTGCCTTGTCAGTATTCTCAATTAACTCTATAGGACCTACTTCCAAAATTATTAGAAAATCTCAGTGAAACGGAGAAAATTCTTTATAATTTAGTAGATTTGGGAAATACCCCACTGAAATCCAAAAAGGTTTGAGTTTGAACTAGTCTGTGGGTCTTTCCCATAATTGGACAGTAGGAAATGAACAGATTTGCACCGAAAAATGCACAGGATAAAAGTGAAATTATTTTTCCAAATTGATTTTCTATGCAGCCAGGAAGTACTGGATTAATTCACTTTACATAACGAAGAAATTACGTACCGAAATTCTGATTTCGATTGCTACAGTCCACTCAACTGATGCAAAAGACGAATAACACAGAATACATTGTGGATTCAGATGGTAATGATAGGTGGAGGCAAGAAACGCTAATCAGTTGGGACGTGAAGTACACACACACACACACACACACAAAAACAAAGTTGACTGGATCGTTTCGAATATCAGGGTGGTTTTCACGCCTGCTATAATTCAGTTCAGAACAGAACTGAGGACTGACAACTCACCGAAGTTCCACTGATGATTTTGCGTAACCTGGCTATGAAACATCTGAGAAAAATACTTCCAGCTCGGAGTATGCACGAAGATCAACATTACTTAGTGTACGTTCAGTATATAAAACCAATAACTATATCTCTAAACACACGCATACGAGACATTAGTTCAACCGTCATTCTGCGTTCTTCGAATCCACCCTCATTCTCACGCTTCACTTGTCGTGTATCAGATGATTCGGTATCTGACGCTCGGGGTGTTGCTGGTATCGCCAGATGACAAAGAGAAGCACTCGCTTCGTGACTGTATTTCAGTCAGTAGCCGATTTGACGCTGTATGTCTCGACGGATCAGTATGGGTTACCAGTTACAGAACGTCTGTCGTGAAACTGGAAATGACGCACGTTACGAATCCCCCCTCCGCACGCATTGATCCCACTCTATTTTGAGCTCGTTCGGATTCTCACTTCGATCAATGCAGAATAATAACCTATGATTACGGTGGGATAATGAAAATTTACTTAGCTTCCGAATAAATTGTGACCGGGCGGAGTGGTATTTTCATTGGAACTCTAGTGCTTCGATTGATATGACTGAAAATCTCAGTTGATCTACCTGTAGTGGTACTGCTGACGATAGGCTGTCTCTTATGATGAGAACTGGGTCTCCTCATAAGCCGAGACCTTGGATTCAGTTCCAACATAACCATCACAACATGCAGGTAACACGCGCGTGGCGAACATTGTCCACTTGAGTAGCTATTTTGTTTACAGCAATCAAAGACCAAATAAAGTGTCAGGTATGTCGAGTAATTGACAAATTTAGATGTCAATCAACAGGTATTGAACAGCAGCAAACAGCATCCTTTGCATCTGAAAGTAGTCACGTGAACCAAAACTGAACCCGTGATTTGCGAACTTTCGGGACATTGGTCTTATCAAGTAAACCATTTATATGGATGGATATGTTTTGTTGACTGACGTGAATTCCCACTGGTAAAGAACGTTTTAATTTAGGAATCTCAGTGCTATAGGAGGTCAATATTGCATCGATAAGAAAACCGAACAGTATACTGAGACAAGAGTACTCCTCCACCGGCTGAGCATAGAAAATAGTCATTTCAGTTACTAATACAAGCAAGATCAGGTATCGAGGTATCGCTGAGTCAACAGACTTAGCACAAAAGAGCCATGGACCAATATAAGTGAGGACCAAAGGATCCAGCGATAATCGAAAATTGGTGAGAGTTAGGCATGAAGGATAGAACCCATTTCGATTTGAACGCAGCATGACTGTGATCGCTCGCTAGTACACGAGGGAATACAGCGGTCACCTAAGTGGTAGTGCAACACGTAATACATCTATGGGTAACGCGATCGTGGGAACATTGGGTTCGATAACCTGATTGGCTGGATGCAAGTGTGCATTTGATTGCCAAAGGTTTTTCATTTGGCGAGATAATACTGTGTCAAGACGAAAAGATGCGCATACTCAAGTGTCATAATACTACGCGTCAAGATATTTCGGGCGATAACTAACTGAAGAATATCCTGTTGAATGTAGACCCGGAGAAGTAGCAAGCTTACTGGATGGTCTCATTACTAGGGTATCGATATTCGAATTAAGAGGGTAGAACGTTGCGATAAGCTTGCGTTGACACCTGGTCTCGATCTTATTCCAAGTGGTGATGCAATAGTGTACATTACATTGCTTTTGGCGGACGGCTCTCAGATGTGATATCGTTAAGGGCACAGAAAGTTTATCCAGCGTTCTTCAACTAGAGGTACCTTTGGCATCACCGAAACGTTCAGCTGTCTGTCAAGGTTTGCGACACCGAGCCATATCGCTCAGTGTCTCCAACCATTGTTGACCGTGATCTTGGGGTCCTCAGCCAGGGAGCCTAACGGGACTTGTGTGACCCAGACTCCTGGTTAGGGTTTTCATACCCTCGTGCCAGGTCTTCGCTTAACCGCCCTTGACCTTTTTCTAACCGCTACCTGCCTCGGCTAAATTCGCTCACCGAGGCAACCTGGTGAAATGCGTAATGATTACATAACATGATCGTTACGAGTAGAAGACAAGCGAGGGCGGACGGTGTTTAGGAAACACTCTTTTTATTCCATGAACTGCATGATGTACAACAAATGAATAGACCCCATAACCATGGGCTACTGTATGCCTAATTGTGGTAATCCTGTGGGATAACAGGGCAATCAAGGGTGAGGCTAGGCGAATAGTATTAGAAGGATGCGTACGCACATTAAAACAAGTGTTTGACTAGAGTGCGGCAGAAAGGACATATTACGAATTTCAACAAAGAAGTTTGCTCTGCGTATGACAGTTACCGAGGTAGGTAGTATTTCGGAAAAGAGAAAAGCTGTTCAAGCTACGACGTGGTTTGGGGTATGAAAACCCTGACCATTGAACTTAGCCGAATAAGTCATTTCAGGCTTCTTCTTTGGGAAACTCGTGAAAAACCCCAAACAATGGCGAGG